CAAATGTGAAAGGCGGAGTCCTAAGTCATCTTTCCCATTTCAAGCCTTTGAAAGAAAAGCAAAAGCCTGTTACTTTGGATTTTGAGAAGCCCCTTGTCAATTTCGAGAAGAAGATGATTGACGTAATTCCTTATTTTTAATGATTGTTGATTTTTCTGTTAATAAAACGCCCGTGATTGCTTCAAATTTTGTGCTTGTTTCATATGCAGGTGAGGAGGATGGCAAATGAAACTGGATTGGACTTCAGTGATCAGATTATATTATTGGAGAATAAATATCAACAGGTACAATTATTTTGTTTGAGACAATTTGAGAGAAAGCAATAAAATTTCTAGTTATACATTTATATGATCCTCTGAGTTGATACATATTCAACCCGTTAATGAGAGTGAAGTTGAGTATGGAATATGTTTTCGTGTGCTCAATTTAATTATGCCAAAACTGAATATTAGGTCAGGACGTTATATTTAATATTGGTTGATAAAATGTTTCTGATGTTGCATTTGCTATGGCATTTATTGGCTATTTAGAATTTTATTATATTACTTGATTTTAGTTTTGGATTCATTCTCTTATTGCAGAGGATTTATCAATAGTGGAACATTTATATGTTTGCTTGAAATTCTGTGGTGTTAAACTCCAAAATCTATGATTCTTCTTTAAGTCTGTTGCAAACCTGATACCTTAATAAGGGATGAGCATAATTCAATGTTTCAAAACAGGCTTGTACACCATTTAGTGTTGATGTGCTATAAAAGATATTGATGTTTCACCATGTTTTTGGTTTCCGGTTAACTCTTATCATCCTTTCTATTACTTGTTTCAGGCCCTGAAGGACTTATACACACATCTAACCCCAATACAACGTGTGAACATTGCCCGGCACCCTAACAGACCTACATTCCTTGATCATGTATTCAGCATTACCGATAAGGTTTGGTGGTTGCATGCCCTTTAAGTCTCAGATATTAAATTCTGCATATTCTCGTCAACATTATCTTTAACACCCAGTGTGTGGAAGGTGAAGAATTGTTTTAATAAATGTTTTGTATATTCTCCTATGTCCAGTTTGTGGAACTTCATGGAGATCGATCGGGCTATGATGATCCAGCTATTGTTACTGGTATAGGAACCATAGATGGTAGGCGATACATGTTTATTGGTCAGCAAAAGGGTAGAAACACTAAAGAGAATATTCAGCGTAACTTTGGAATGCCAACTCCCCATGGGTAAGTATATGAAACTTGCATGTTGAATTTTATCTTTGAAATAGGGAATATGTCACTCTTAACTGATATTTAGGAAATGCTTACAGTTACAGGAAGGCTCTGCGCATGATGTATTATGCAGATCATCATGGTTTTCCTATAGTTACTTTTATTGACACTCCTGGGGCATATGCTGACCTTAAATCTGAGGAGCTGGGTCAAGTATGAGGACTATTGTATTATGAAGCATACCAGATATACTTTTAATGTTAGCACAACTGATTTTTATGCATTACATTCATGTAGGGTGAAGCTATTGCCCACAATTTGAGGACCATGTTTGGTCTGAAGGTCCCAATTGTTTCTATTGTTATTGGGGAAGGTGGCTCTGGCGGTGCCTTGGCCATTGGCTGTGCTAATAAATTGTTTATGTTGGAAAATGCAGTCTTTTATGTTGCCAGGTATTGAGTTGTCCTATATTGTTTTTGTTGAATAACATTTAAGTTTTACAACCTGCCCTTTTGAACCCACACAATATACGAAATTCCAATTGGTTAAAACCTTATTTTTACTCGTTGTACCTGGGTAAGATTGTATATTATACCTTGTAAATGTTGATCTTTTTTAGATGCCATTTCTAATTGTGCTGATATTTCATTTTTTTTCTTTTATTTTAATGATATAGTCCAGAAGCCTGTGCTGCAATTTTATGGAAGACTGCCAAAGCTTCTCCAAAGGTTTGAATGAAATTATTGGTTTTAGGCTTATCTTTCAGTAATTTTCATTTTATGATTAGTATTTAAGGTTTTCATCTATATGCAGGCTGCTGAGAAGCTGAGGATTACTGCTCCAGAGTTGTGCAAGCTGGAAATTTGTGATGGAATTATTCCGGTGATTAACATTGTTTCTCCAATGTCTCCAGTGAATTAGTTTTTCTATGTGTACCTTTTTCTTTCCCTTTTTTACTGTTTTTGTTTCTCTGATTCTAGCTACAAAAATATGATAAACCTACTACAAGCAATTTCATGTAGCAAAGCTGACTGTTATGGGAACCATTTTGCTTCTTTTCTTAGCATATCATCTATCTGATGTTTGACAAAAATGATGTATTTGGTTTTCAAAGTATTTGCACTTCAACAGCTTTAATGGTTGAATATTGCTCCCGATTGTTGTTTCCTTTGGAAGTTCATGTTAATTACCTTGGCATCTGACACTTTTATGTTTGATAGGAACCACTGGGCGGTGCCCATGCAAATCCAGCTTGGACTTCGCAACAAATAAAAGCCGCAATTAACGAGTCAATGGATGTAAGTTCCACTAGCAGTAGTTCTCTATCGAGAATTGTATTATAATATATTAACAAAATTTTATTCTGCAGGAGCTCAAAGCAATGACCACTGAAGAGCTACTACACCACCGCAATCATAAATTCAGAAAACTGGGTGGCTTCCAAGAAAATGCACAGGTAGATCCCAAGAAGAAGGTCAATATGAAAAAGAAAGAAGACACTGCTCGTAGAACGTCAAATGCAGAGTTGGAGGGTGAGGTTGAGAAACTGAAACAGCAAATCTTGAAAGCCAAGGAATCATCCAGCAAGCCTCCTGAGATGGCTCTAAAGGACATGATAGAAAAATTAAAAATGGAGGTTGATCATGAATATTCTGAGGCCATCAAAGCCATGGGCTTGAAGGACAGGCTTGAGATGTTGAGAAGAAGTTTCAAAAGTAAGTTCCAGGGACCAACTCATGAATCCTGTTATAAGAGATAAGATTGAGAAGCTTAAAGATGAATTCGACCGGAATCTATCAGCAGCTCCAAATTATTCAATCCTCAAATATAAGTTTGACGTGCTGAAGGAGTTTTCAAAAGCCAAGAGTCTCTCAGATGCAGCTACACTGAAGCAGGAAGTTAATAAGAAATTTAATGAAGTCATGAGTCGGCCTGAGATAAATGAGAAGCTTGAAGCAATAAAAGATGAGGTTCAAAATTCCGGTTTATCCAACTTTGCGGATTTAGATCAAGGGCTGAAGGACAAAGTTATCAATATGAAGAAAGAGATAGAGTCGGAAATGATAAGTGCTCTCGAGTCCTTTGGTTTGGATGTTGTTGTTGTAAAGTCTAATGCAAAAGTCCTTAGTGAGAAAGCTTCACTCTCAGTCTTCATAAGTAAGGTGGATAATTTGAATGAAGAAATTAACAAGCAAATTGAAAATGTTGCCAGTTCATTGGAGTTGAAGAATATGATTGAGTTGTTGAAGCTGGAAATAGCAAGGGCAGGAAACAAACCTGATACCGAGTCAAAAAGTAAGATTGAGGCTCTACAAAAACAGATTAAGAGAAGACTTTCTGAAGCTATCATCTCTTCAGAATTGAAAGAGAAGCATGAAGAGTTGCAGGCAGAAATTTCTGAAATGGTACAGTCTTCTGCTGGAACTGATGGAAATTTGCAAAAGGAAACCAAGCATGAGGAACCTAGAGTAGAGATCAATTTGGGTTCAAACCACAGCTTTGCTCAGTGTATGTAGCTCCTTGCATTATACATTATCTGGTTCTTTTATTTTTGCTTTTAGTTTCTGATGAATAATTGATATTCCAGACATTATTTATTTGGATGCTTAAGGATATATACGATTTAGAACGTGGTTTAGAATGGTTATAGTTGGTTTACGCTCAAATGGCATTTTTTTTGTCCATGAAAATTAGGGAAAGAAATGTCATTTAGTATATATAAAAATGGTCTAAATTCATAAATGAACTATTGTTATTAAAAGGTAGCTAGTATAAACTCTTATAGCTTTGCTAATTTATTTGATCGGTACTATTGACTTGTATTCAACAGGATCTTCATTCGGTCAGAATGTTACTGAGGTAGATGGTATAGAAAGAGATGGTGTTTGAAGTCTGATTGAAGAACTAAAGCCTTGCAAGAGCTACAAATCCTCCGCTGTCACCTGCCAGTAGGCACAAGGTTTTGCATCTATGAAAACACTGATTGGTTATCGCATTTTGCTCAATCTCATGTTTTTATTCTCCTTTTAAAGCTGAATTGGACCATTCTGAATTAGGGATGCTAAAAAAATTCCCTTTGGATGTTGCTTTCTGTCCAATTTATTGGTAGAATGTGTTTTCGTTTTACTCAGAGACAAAGAACACTGTATAGCATGTGTGATCAGTAGGGGAGACCAAATAACACCCCCTCCAAAAAAAAACCCTTTTTCTTTACAAAAGACTTCTCAGCCAAGTTTGTGGCCGAATCGTGTTTCTATTAGTAGTCTATGGCAACGCAAACAGTGTTTTAATGTTTGGTTCCCCTTTGACCGAAATGTATCGTGTTGTAGTAAATTGTTCGTCTTGTTGAGGGTAAGATCTATGCATTTACTAGTTTTAGGTGATCTGGATGTTCTCAAAAGTAAAATGCGCTATGTTGTCCGGGTGTCCAATCCAAATATGATTTGTTATTTGCAGAACTGAACTAGATTTCGATAACAGTCGTATTCACTTCCGTCAGCTTATGTTTCAAGATTCTGCAACGTTTTTGTAAAGAAAAAAGCACGTAGTATAGCAATAAATATTAGAATCTGCACTGCTATTGGCATCCATTTTCCAGGTCCAATGCTAATAGCATGTTGACACTTTCAAGCAACCAAAGCATTTTTCTTCATGTGATGCATTCAATTACAACCCCGATGCTTAGTTTTTGTTTATGGTTTGAGCCAAGAACAGATCAAAACACAAAAGAAAGTAAATTTTCATTAATCAAACCATTCAAAGAGCTACAATTTGATCACTAAATCAATCAAATGACACTTTTATTCGTCTTCTGTATCTTGTGATTACATCAAATCTTTTCAATACATGAATGGAATCACAGCTTTTCTCTTCTTGGGAAACTCATCCTTAAACTTCTCTAAATACCAATGGCGGCTAGCACGAGCTCTAGGCATCAAGTTAGCACAAGTATAGAAAAAGAACCCAAAACCCACCCAAGACCAAGTCATCACCGCCCACCCAAACCACTCCAAAATCTCTCCAAAATAGTTTGGGCAACTCACCAACTCAAACAACCCTCCACTCGGAACCTTATATCCACCGCCACCCTGCTTTTTCATCCCTACCAGCACTTCATCAGCCCACATATTCACCTTCATCCCAACCCCAAATATCAGCAGCCCACCGAGAAATTTCCACCAAAAAAACCCATCACTCTCGTAGTCGTCCTTGTAATGAGAAACCCACCTCGCTTGCAGATAAGCATTCAACAGATTGAACCCGAACGCCGTGAGAGCTATACTCACCGGAAAACCTTTAGCGTTTTTGTTCCTCGAGAGGCGAAGAGGGTAAAGCACGGTGCGATTGAAGTAGTGAAGGAGAAACGGGGAGATGAGAATGAATGATTTGGGGTTGGAAAAATGTCGGCCGAAAGGGAAGAGCAGAGAGTGAGAGAGGGTGGGGCTTTCCATGAAGAACCAAGCCAAAGGAGGAGAAATGGTGGGACCCCAACCAGGGCGGTTGTGCTTGCCATAAGGGGCTTGGAGGAAGTAAAGGCTGATCCATGTTGGTGGGGCGATTAGGTAGAGACTGAGGAGGCTGTAGTGAAAAAAGGTCCGATCGGAGTCCATCTTTTGCTTTTGGTTTTGTTGACGAGAGAAGGATCTGAATCGAAGGTGAAGCTGGAAAAGAGAAGATTAAATACCATATTCTACACACCTATTGGTCAGCGACGATTAAATTCTGCCACTTCAACTTAAACCCTTTATTAATTATTTGGCTTGAATGCTAAACTAACATGAAATGGTAAATTTAATATTAAATAAAAAATTAATTTTTTCTATAGCTCCGTCATTGTAAATGAATGAGATATATTACGAGTTATTCGAGATCAATTTGATCAAAATTAAGTCAATATTCAAATCGAATAAATTTGACTCGAGTTTGGACTCAACTTGAATTATTAACAAGTCAAAACAAATTATTTAATATTCGACTCGAAAAGCTTACAAATAACTCAATATTTATGTATATATACATTATTTTTAATTTTTCAGATTAAATTATTGATAGTATTAATATTTAAATGTTATTTTAAAAAATATATAATAAAGGTGTTCATATACTTAAAGTTTAAGTTTGAATTCGAGTTTGAGTTTCAATCAAGTTAAATTTAAAAATAATTTGAGTTTAAGTTTTTCAAGCTTAAATCAAACTTTAGTTTTTGATTTCGAGTGAAGATTGAAAATTTCATTTCGAATTAACTCTGAAACTTAAATATATTCCTCCCATTCCCCTTATGATTAATCTGCTTGTCAATTTGCAATTTACATTTTTCTTTATTGGGATCTACAATTTGCATATTGTTGTATGGATAATGGTTATTGGGTTGGTGATGTGGTTCGATGTTGATGTTAATCGGCGGCTCGCTGATGTATGAGAAATAAGTGAGATTTTTATGAATTTTATGATATTTTCTGAAAAATAAGAAATATTGAGAGTTTTTTTAAAAAATTTATGAATTTTATTTTTTTAAATAAAATAAATAGACTACGTGTCGAATGTGAATTGATTGATTGATTTTTAATAAAACTTTTTAAAAGTCGTCACAGATCAAACAATTAAAATAATAATATTTGTAATATTTAACATACATTGATCGAAAGATAATTATAGACTTAAATTGAAAAAAATATATTAAAATATTTATTTTTTGAATATTGTCACGGGACTGCTGCTAGCAAGCTCGTGCGACCTTAATCGTTTTCAAGGTCGAAAATCGGCTAAGTAACCCAAACCTCCATTAAGCGAGAATGCTTAGAACGTTACAAAAATAAAGAAAATAAAGAGAAACAAAGAGATGGACGCACAAATGGAGAAGAGAGAGTTTAGAGTGAATGTTAACTTGTATTCCTCAATCTGAAGTGAGTAAATGAAGTGGGGTGAGTTGGAGCCCCCTACAATCAACTGTTAAGATTAAAGTACATCAATGGTCAGGATGAGAGCCCTACTCTATCTATAACTCTAAATTAATAAATAATTAGTGAGAATTATCTCTAAAATAATTTTAAATAATTATCATGCATTTTCTCTCTCTAAGGTGGATGAATCAGCTCTGTTAAAAGCTCAAAACATGACAAAGATAATCTCTGACAACATTAAATGATCTGGGCTTGGTCTTGGGCTGACGGTATGTGACGATATCTTATTAAATATATTAAAATTTTATTGATGGATTCCTTCCAAATTGGAATCCTGCGTGCATCTTTCTCTCTCGCCTCTCATGGGATCCGTTTTTCAAATTTGCTTTACCACTTGCTCTCTCTCTCTACCCCTCCACTTTCAAAATAACCATAGACTTTCTCACTCTAGGGTTTCGAAGGTATACTTTCAGACAAACGGAAGGCGCTCTCCAGTCTGATTGTATGCTTCCTACAGCTTACAGAGCAAGTTTCTGTGTATATCAGATACTGCATTGGGGAAAAAGAAGAGAGGAAATCAGTTGATTTTAGCGGCCTCAACGGCTCTCTGGATCTTCTTTCAGCTGTTATTTCATCGTCGATTACATGTTTCAGGTGAGTTTGAAGCAAATTTCGTGTTTTGTTTTATGAACTCCTTTCTCTTGCTGCTTGTCGACTGTTTCGGCGTTGCTTGCGTATAATTTTGTTGTTTAGGGTTTTAGTACTTCGTTCACTAGTGAGGCCTAGTTTGTATTAAAAAACGCACGAGGCAAATAAGAAAAAGGAAAAAAGGAGGGAAGTATGAAAGCAAAGAGAAAGAGCTGTTAGGTAGGTTTTGCTCTTAATTTTGACTAGTTTATTTGCTAGGAGAGTAGTCATTGTATTTGTGTTTAACATGATGTTATTAGAGAATTTGTTTGCTCAAGAGTATATATCTTGTATATGTTCTCATTTTATTTATCTTTTGGTATATATTATAAGTTTATGGTGCTTGGTAAATGCTGAATGTTTGCTAGTATGGACTTAAATGCTTCCCCCATTACCTGAAGATGACGAAGAGACATATGAAAGACATAAAGAACATTACTACGCACCAGAAGAACATGTAGAATCTGCAGTTGAAATTTTAAGAAGGGTACGTCTTTAATTTTCTCTTTGGCTTTCTTGTTGAATTTTCTCTTTTTTGATGTCTACCAATGATTGGGAATGATTCATGCATTTTTTAATATTTTTTTCACTCTTGGTTATTATGGTTTAGGCAATTCCTGAATGGTTTTTTTCTAGGCATTGATGGATAGGTGAGGTTGTGTACTTGTGTTGTAGATAAGAGAAATGGTTTTGTCTTCGTGTGCATATGATATGTTGAAGTTTTGTGTTAATGTAGTTGATGTTCTGGGTAATGGCGACTTATTGGCATGACGTATGACTGCTAAGAGGCATTGTGGCTATTTAGCAGCGTTACAAACAATTGTTTCTTGCATTTATGAAAAAATCAATGTGTTCATATTATTTAACATGCACATATGCTTCCTTTTATTTTTGCATCTCACTCTTCTCCCATATATTTTCTGAGTTGAGCACATCTTGCTGCATTGAATTTTTCACTCTATAATAATTATTTTTGTGCATCGTTGTTCATTGTGGATGTTAATGGAATTTTCTTCTATTAGGAACGTGAGGAAAGACGGAAGAAGTTGAAAAAAGACCAACCAGAATACCAGCCAGTACATGTCTCTCAGCCTCAAATACTTGATCACTTTTATCAGAATAGGAATCCAAAGTTTTATGATAAAAGTAGGATCCCTTCTGGTAAGATCCCTTGACATTGCACAATAATTGCTCTATGTTTTTTGGTCATTCTCAATGTCGATAACATTGCTGTTCCATAACTTCCATTGTCCACAAACTGTGGTGTTTTTATTTAGATTGTGTTTATTCATCTATATATTTTTTATTTAAAATAAAAATAATTGCTGTTAATAATGGTTTTATGTGTCAACAAATTATTGAAATGGTATCTACAATGTCAACGGTCAATATAACTGTATGAATGATTGTTTCAGGCTTTCAGATACAATAAAAACTAAAAACATAGATTTCAATTTTTACTTGTTTCATTTGTGTGCTCAATATGACCATATGAATTTATTTGAAATTTCAAATTCATGTTGTTGCTCAAGTTATTGGCTTGTTTTTCCAAAACGTTTTGCAGGTTAGTTTGGTTTTCCTTCGGTTGATCAGGAAATAGGCTGCATCATTCCTTCTAAAACTCCACTTGGTGAATCTTATAATGACTGTGTTCTGCCTGGTAAAAGATACTTTTAAACAAGTGATTCATCAGCAAAGAGTTTTAGGAAGAAAGGTATATAGAAAGGTTGCATTTCTTTTCTCATTTCAGTGCTAATACCTTGTTGATTTTCCCAGTTAATGCAAAGCATATCTCTTCTATCATTGTCTCAACCATGTAAACAGCATGTCAAAATCCTTTTGGACTATTCTAGAAATCCTAAAATATGCTTGGTTATGTTAACTATAGAATTAAAATGCATTTAGGGACTAATTATGCATTTACGGCAATGGACATGGTTATAACATTCGAGATTTTGTGAAAGTATTTGTTCTAAGGGCTTGAACTAGTGCATTTCTGCTTGCTGACAAACAAGTTAGATATCAGTTTTTGATATATTAGACCTGTGAAGTAAGATTTTTTAATTGGATAATAAGTTTGACATTACATGCGATATTCTGGTTTCAGCTTGGTTGGGTCATTGATTTGACGAACACATCTCGTTACTATCAAACTACAGACCTGAAGAAAGAAGGCATTAAGCATGTAAAAGTGGTTCTTATTGTATTTTAATGCTATTCTTGTTGTTTGCAGTTCTGGTTTTAATTTTTCAGTATTTGTTCTAGTTTCAAAGCAGGGGCAGAGATGCTGTATCTGATAACTTGTCTGTAAATACTTTTGTTTATGAGGTAGATCTCCATTATAATTGTCTATCATTTCCGGAATCTACTGGAATATCTGCCTGTATATCTTCTTGAAATGTGATTCCTTTAATACATTCAGTCTCAACTGCCATGCTGCTTTTGTCACATGATGACCAAAGTTTTGGCTGGTCTTATATGTTCCCTTTCATGGCATGCAACAGTACTATTGTAATCTCCAACATAAATTTGACCTTATGTCATACCGGATACTGTCTCTTCTTTTGTCTCGTTCATCTAGTTCTCATACATTTGCTGATCTACAGAAGCATGCTAATTACTGAACTCGTGACTTGATTGTTCTTAATTTATTGCACTCATTTATGAGAGTTTTTATGTGATTTGTTTATCAGGTGTCACAATTCCTACTACGTCAGAAATCAAAGAAATATATTCTTGTCATTGCACACATGGGCTAATCGGACCGGATACATGATTGTTCACTACCTCATGTGATCACAACCAATGTCTG